AGATGTAAATGATTGGAAAAAAAAATATTCCAAGGCCAAAGTGAATATTGCCAAATGTAATACTGGCTGGTCTGAATGGTGTCCAAATGCTGAATTTTACCCAGAATGGTCCAGAGTCAACCAAAACATGAAAATCCAGGCAGAGGAAAGGGGCTCTGCAGTCATAAGCCATTTTCACTTCTGCACTCCTGAAAATGTCTAGATAATTTCAGGAGGACTGCTCCAAATATTCTCCTGACCTGGCTGTTCACATATACACCTCACAGCTGGAGACTATCCCTGTCAGACAGTAGGGGGGAGATAGGGGGTCTCATGAGGTATGACATGACGTAAAAAAAATTATGAGGAAGCAGCAGACAAAGCAACAGAGTCCGCTATATGATGCTGTAATGATGCTGTAATGAGAATATGTGTCTTTATCAATGCTATGTGTATTTCAACAGGATAACAATATGAACTAAAGAGCGGAGAACAACATGAGGAACAGAAAACGTTTAATAACGTGGACAGAGATTGTAGTGGTCGGGTGCATGCACTCCATACTGCAGTCACAGTAAATATAAACGTCACTCACACTCCCATTGGCTCGAGGTGAATTATCCGGATATTTATTATTATCTTTTTTTTAAATGTATTTAACCAGGAGAACCTCACTGAGATTAAGAATCTCATTTGCAAAAGTGTCCTGGCCGAGAGGGGCAGCAGCACAACAAAACGTTACAGACATAAAACACAGAGTAATTACAAACACAGTTTAACATGTCCTGAGTCACAGAGCAGAAAGTCATCAGTCAAAGCATCTACAACCTGCTGCATTCTCAAATCAGCAAGCGTGAAAGCCCTAGGTATTTCACACTTGCCAAAAACTCAGAATATTTGCCGGAGGAGCTGTATATGTGAACGCAAACAGCAGAATTTTCCGCTCGGACTTCAGCCGGAGTTTCTCCTGACAGCACCCTAGTATTTTTTCTGCAGCAAGTCCGAGTGAGCTGATGAGTGGCCATGAGTGAGCTGGTGAGAACGCAGCAGGATATTCTCCGAGCCAATGGAGTATATGGAGGCCCATAAGTGATGATTGAGCAGCATTACTTTTGTATAAGTCTATATTTTACTTTTTAGGTAAAACCTACTGATTCTATCTTTAAGAAAGGGAGACCTTAGCCGTGTCAGCACATTTATAGGCTACCAGCTGTCCCTGGTTTTTATGCTCTACTTGGCTTTTCATGTCCAGACAACAGCTTCTTAGTTAAAGATTTTCGGTCTTTCTTACATTGACTTGTTTTTGTCTTCTTTCACTACACTTTATGCTAACTTTGCAACCTACTTACCACCTCCAACATAGTGTAAGCAGCATGGGTTTTCTGAACTAAAAAAAAAACCTTTTCATAAGATGAAAAGCTAAGTCCTCCAAGGAACAGTACGGAAAGAGTGATACCCTGCTGTAATGAAAACGGGACTATAAGCACACTTGTTCCTACCAAAAGACTTTCGCAAACACCATTCAGTGAGTGTGTTATCAGGTTTAAGTTAATATGTGCAAAACGAATTTTGACAACCTCAGAACAGCACTCGCCTGAGATCTTTGGCGCCCCCTACAGGTGCCTAGACCTCAGGTCAATCACAGATACATGCTAAAGTTAAAAAAATAACAGTTGAACAAATACATAGAGATGGAAGATGCTATGTTTTACTCCACAACTTTATCCACTTGACGTTTCTTCTCACTATGACAATATCTTCTTACCGCTACGTCCGCATTCCGCAATATTCACCAGTTTTAATGGCGTCCAATCACTGAATTGTATCTACTCCCAAACTCACCCAGACCAATACATAGATACTGTCACAAATGCATGCATTAACCCAGAACATGAAACATCAAATTAACTGTGTGAATGTTGTCGAGAGGCTTTTAGTAGTGTATTCTGGATGTTTTTTTTCTGGGTGAAGAGGAACCTTTCAACTCACCCAATGGAGCTTTAATAATTATCTCTCTGTGCCGCTTTAAAAGTGAATGGGAGTAATAGTGTCTCCTTAAAATACTGAATGATTGCTTTAAAAGTAGAGTAATGTTTCTTTGATCATTGTGGTTTTTCAAACAGAAGGCACTGCCCTGCTATCACCACTGCCAAGGGCGTGGTGATGTGTCTGACATGGGTTACACCCAAGCTGCATAGACCATTGACAGGCGTTGTGTAGCTGAACATCAGGAGGCTTAAGGCCCGCCTCCAGCTCCAGCCATTACTTAATGTTAAATTGACTGAAAGCTAGGATGAAACAGCATTATTAATATGGTGACTGTAATCGATGGGCTTCAGTAACCAATGGGTGACGTCCCCCGGACTATGTCCATATCTATATATAGTCTGGTAACACCCAAACCTCTTAATAGAAAACCTGAATGCAGATGGTGTCATCAAAAAAGCTAAAGCAAGTATTTCACAGGATTTGTCTGCATGTCAGGGTGAGATTATCCTTGGCATTTCACATCTGTGAGGTGAAGGCTTAGGGCTGAGAGGACACGACACTGGTGGTGATCAGTGTGATCCCTAGTCAAAGGGCATCAGCATGAAAAGTGGGAGAAGAGAGAGAGGATTCATTAGGATTCCCTCTCTATCTCTCAGACTCCCTCAGTCTTATGAAGCTAACCGCGGCGCCTGTCCTTGCAGAGGGACGGAGGTGGACAACACAGATGGCTCGCTAAGAGCTGTATTCAAAGGCCAGTAACCTACAGAGGCAGTGTAAACACGACCCTGTAGCCTGGTAGCCAGCCTTTTCCAGGCATGTAAGAGGAACGACATGGTAAATAAAGAGATGGTAAATTATGATCTTGAGCCTAAGCATTAGAGTCTAACAAACACAGAAAAACATCTACTATTATTTTACCTTTTTAAGTTTTTAAGAACGTTTCTTTGTTTGATACTGCTTTTACATGTTGATGTTCTTAATTTTACCCAGGCTAAATGCCAATTTCACAATATAAATGCCAATTTCCACATAGTACGTGCACACTGCGTTCTGTCAGCGCCACGGTTTTCCTCTGTCGCAGCCATGAGCAGCTGTACACACATCACAGGACAACTACAAGATCACGCGGGAATAGAGAGAAAAACGTGAATACAACAAGGTGCCATGGTGCCTGTTTTTACGTAATGTTAATAAAGTGATGGAAAATACAAAAAGGCTGAGCCCTTATATTGTGTTTTATTTTGAAATGACCAGACGCTCTGTGCGTTTCCTTCTCTGACTTTCTGTCCGGGTCGTTCTATTCTGTCGCATGCTTTCAACGAGCTCCTTCAAAAATAGGAAGGCAGCGCATTTGAAACGGAGCAGAGAGGGGGGCGCTGCTGACACGCTGTGGAAACAGGAGCATTGACTACAGTGGCAGCGAATTGGCAATAAGTAAAACCTGCAGGCCTAAATCCACTAGAAATATTCATAGTATTTTGGAACTTGATATTAAATTTTTTTTCATGCAGATACTTGTTTTAGTCTTGGATCATCACCAAGTTGTGCACGTTGAGAATAACGTGTAAATGTGGAGAGTGAAGTCAAACTTCCTAACCTTGCATGAATACAAGACGTTTGATCGCATTTTCAACATACCGACATCACTCTCATGACTTGTGACAATATCTGTGTCACAGATTACACATGATGTTTTTTTCTAGATCTAGCATCATCAGGTGTCATTCTCTGTAGAGTGCATTCACATTGATTCACACAGACTGTAGACAGCACACGGGGCGTGTTAGTGGATGAGCAGGATGTTAAATTCAGATGAAAAGGAGAACACGGGCAAGTGTTGTGGACAAGTAAATGTACTTGAAACTCCAGCAAGAATCCCAGCAGTGAACTTCAATTATCCTCAAAATACAACAAATTGAGTTTCTCTTCACTTTGAAATAGGTTCAAAAACAAACTGATGACGCAAAAATAGTAGCTACCACTGGGTTTGTAGCTCTAAATCAGGGGTTCCCAAACTTTTCATCCTGCGAACCCCAAAATAACAATGTGAGGGACAGGGAACCCCCTCTGTCCCTGGAAATGGTTAAAGCATCTAATTGTGCACACAGCAGCACTAATAGGCCTATCCAGACACTGACATTAGAACAACACTAAAGAGCAGCCTTAAAACAATTATATTATTTCAGTGTGTCTGTGTGCATTTTTATTGACAAAGAGCAACACAGATACATAACATTGTCACTTTAGGATTATTTCACATTAAATGGGTCAAATCTGCAATTTTAAGTAATTTCAAATTCGTATTTGTTTTTGGAAGGCACCTCACGACCCCCCCTCCCAGTGTCTCACGACCCCTCAGGGGGTCCCAACCCCCACTTTGGGAACCACTGCTCTAGCTAACAGGAGCTCACTTGCAGGCGTTGATCTTGCTTGCATCAGAGAAACAGGAGGAAAACGAGCGTCTGAAAGATGATTGTGATAAACATGAGGATGTAAACTGTGTCAGTATGTAAATTGAAGAATATAAAGGAAAGTGTAACAAGATGCAGTCTGTAAGACATAGAATAACCTATAGGCTGAACAGGAAGTGTTAAACATGGAGGACAGGTAACAGGACGCTGAGCAGAGGTGTTTCTATTTTAGAACAATGTCAAGCTCGACACAAACACTGCATGTAGCAGATTCACCTGCTTAAAGGCGCAGTTCATTAAAAGACACAACAACATCCTTCGGACGACTTTTTTTTTTAAACACAGAGCACGAATGCTGCAACACATGTGAGACACTGAAATCAAGCAATACAGCACTGCACACACAGTTTACAGCTCAAGACAAGGGATACAGTTGTGTCTCTTGGGTGTCAGATAATCTCCCTTTGTGGACGACATACCTTTAAGTGAGTCCACGCTGACACATATAAGTCATCAACGACGACTCTTGTTAAACAGACAAGCCAAAGAATGTGTGCATTTTCTGTCAGATGTGACATATAAACATTTGAAAGAAAAGTATTTTAAAGTCTCAATACTTACTCCACTGATTTAATAAGCTATTCATGTGCATCTTGTGGCTGGTGGAAAAAAACCAGAAGTCTTGTGCTGAAGCTGAGGAGGAACCACACATACATGCGACAGAACATGAGCAAAAGAGACGGGACCGTACATAGAAACAACACACATGATGGGCTGTCAAAGCAAGCAACACACTGAACACTATGATGAACACTGAGTGGGAGAGATGACTGTCAGACATCAGTGTTTAGTGGTATAGGAGTGAATATCCTGGTTAAAGAAAAAAACTGTAAAAATGTTTCTCAATGGTGAAAGCATTGCCTGGGACAAAACAGTGCCTGTTGCATTAAATAACCATATAATACTTCATATATCAAATGCTTATGGAGCAGTTCAATAAGCCTACATGGATTGTACCTCACTGATTTCATTCTCCTGTGACATTAGATCTAAAACGTGGGAGACAATCAGACATTGAGTGGAGTCTTTGTTTCCTCATAATGATTTTAGAGGGTTAAAGTCAAAGTACACTCGCAGTCTACAGGTTAGCCTAACACTCTTGTCTTTTGAATATGCATTTGTAGACCTTTTGGCAACATAGATGCAACAGTTTAGTGAGGTAGGGTCATCCATTGGTCTCTAAAGAGACATTTTGAAGCCAAAAGATGTCAGCGGCCATATTGGAAATGCTATCGAAAGCCATTTTCACATACGCACTTCTGAGAATTTCTAGGGAATTTGTTGGAGGACTTAAAAAGAACGACCTGGAAGTGGTGTACGAAGCAACAGTGTCAGCTATACAATGCTATAATGAGAATATCAACAAAAGGGCGGAGAAGAAAATACTGGAGAAGTTATATTACACGCACAGAGATCGTACCAGTCACGTGCAGACGGTCTATGTGTCATGATTTGGTCTCATTCGGTTTTGTATATTTTCAGAGTTTAGTTTTTATTGTTTTCTCATTCTTGCACCAATCGCAGGGAATCAAACCTCACCACCCTCCTCCCACTTGCTCGAGGTGATTTCTCCTGATTATATACCCTGCTATGTTCTCACATCAGCTCACTCAGACCTTCTGTGGAAAAATTGGGGGCCATCAGGAGAAAGTCCTGATAAAGTCCACATGGACGTAATTATCACGCCCTGAAACAGCAGTCTGTTTAGGACTGAAAAGACACAGACGTCGAGACGCTCTGTTTCAAGCTGAGGGAGGATTAGTCCTGGGTTTGTCACTTCAAATTACACCTTTACTATTTCACCCATTGTTTATATAAAACCATGTTTATTAAGAGTGTGCTTTGAAGGACATTTAAAAATGTGTACATTATTCCAAGTTGCATGTTCAAACTCATTCATAATGTATAAAAAGACTCCAGAGTAATAACCATTAGGAAAGATTATGAGCTTACATCTAAATATGCTAAATAATTATATGTTAGCAGCTGGTAAACCAGTAGATTTACTTTAAGATGTATTTGGGGGTCCTGGTGCCCAGGTTGGGAACCAATTCAGTTAATAATAAATGTTTACAGGGAATCTCTGAAGTACTTCAGCTATTGACTTTTCAGCATGAGTCTGGCTCTGCTCGAGGTTTCTGCTAAACGTTGCTTAGTGCTCATGATGGGTTAATGTTGGGTCTCTGTAAATAATACAACAGAGAAGGGTCTTTTTCCTGCTCTTTTTTGTAAAGTGTCTGCAGATAACATTTGATATGAATTGTAACGATACAAATTCAAATTGTTTCATTGATGGAGTTTGCAGTAACCTGAAGAGGATTTTTCATGGATTTATTTCTGTAATATTTCAGAAGATCATTTGAAAATCAATTGTAAATCATAGTTATGTTTGGCCTGCTTGTTCAAATGTTTAACCCGTTGAAAAGCAGAATTAAACGTACTAAAGAATATCATTGAAATTGTAGCCTGTTTACATGTTTCTATCGCTTTTTACGTAACTCTCCTTGTTCGTTTGTTTGGTGATGGTCAGATTGAAAGTTTGTTCAAACACAGACGACAGCAAAGACAGGTCTAATAACTTCATAGTCTACTTACATAAATTACAGTTCCGTTGAAAAGGCAGCTGGGGTTTATGTTCTCGGTGAAGTGCTGCACATCATGGCTCCGTCATTGTCCGTGCAGGAGGTCCCGCTTATATGAAACGCTGTGGCTCTGACAAGGTGTCTTGCAGCGTGCAGGCGGTGCATTCAGGTTCCTGCTGCTCGCTTGGATGTGACTCTATGGTGAGACAAGCCTTGGAAATGGGAATGCATGTTTTATGTGTTGTCTTAGGAACCAGCCTCTCCAGCGCGTCGGTGGATGAAACTCCACCCACGAGCAGAGGAGACCGGCTGGAGCTCAGCAGCAGACAGGCAGCCTGACAGGAGGGTCGGACTGTGTTGTTGTCAGGACAACAGAGATGACATGATGCGTATTAGACGATTATTTTTGATTTAATGTATTCGGAAAAAAAGGAAAAGAAAAGTCTTCAGTATAGAGCAAACATATTAGTGCATAATGAAGTGGAGTCAACGCGTTTTGTGCTGATCAGAAGTTCTCTGGATACAGCACAGAGGTGGGAGTGTTTTAAACAATGTGGAGCTCAGGCCCAGAGCATAAACTCCCACTCAGTCAGTGAAATGAATAGACTCGAACAACAAGGCTCACAAATAACAGACAAATGGGCCCTCGGCGGAGAATGGGGAAATGAGCAGAGAAACAATACAAGCGAATTCAGGCTGCAGCTCTATGATATTGTATATCCCAAGTGAAGCTTCTGGTGGAGGATTGTCATTTAGATGCTTTGGTGTATTTTATTCTAACATTGCTTAAGGGAAAAAAGCAGAAAAAAAACTGGTCATCTATTTTTTTTTTCTGGGTTTGTTGTTGTAATACTTACATGAGCCACAGGAGGTTGAAGTGCACCACTATACCTGTTCTTAAAAAAGCAGTGGCGTGTCCAGAGCAGAGGGGTGGCGAGCCCCCCCCTCCCCCTTTACATCTGGTTGGCCAACCCAGTCGCCACCCCAAAATCCCAAACTGATCTGAAACTAAAACTCTTCTGGCTGTGTGGCAACAGGCTGCTGTAATTGTCTTAACATGTCAGTGTAATGTATTTTCTCTTGTTAGTACTCTCACTTCTAAATAATTACTGTGCACATCTGTTTCATTAAGCAGGTTCTTATGGAAGGAATAAGTCCAGGAAGAACTTGCAAAGCACTCACTAGCGATGTTTAGGTTGAATGTATTTTAGCAAAGTAGACGGTGTGCAAGGCTTTGCATGCAGTCCTGAGTACTTGAAATTGTGATTTCTTATTGTGATCTTCTTTTTTGAGTCCTGGGGAGGGGTAAGTAAATGCTCTTTATTCACCTGTGTGCACACAAACTTCTGGCCACCCCCGCCCAAGTCAGTAATTTAATTTAATGCTTTTAAGTGTGGATGATCTGATGTGCTCCTCTTATCAGTCTTCTCCCTGTGATTCAGAAATAGTGATATGTTGTTCGCTGCTAACAGAGAAGAAAAGCACTTGCAGTCCTCAGCTGAGGTTTGTTTTCTGTGGAACATTGTTGAATTGTGAAGCTGCCGTAGGTGTCGCAGGATTTTTGCTGTGAGCTGCAATCTGCTGATTCTCAGCCACACCGGTGAATCACGAAGCAGCAGCCGTCCATTTCAGAGCCCACTCACTGGCTCTGCTGCCAGAATGAGCCCGAGGGGCAGCCCATTAAACAGCATCTAATGCTATTAGCTTCCAGTCAATCTAGTTCACCATCATCTCATCTGGTTATTTAATATGCAACAGGCTGCTTTAGATATCAGAAATCAGCAAAATGACTCCATCTGGTTTAAGATTATAATTCTGTTTTTATAAAACCTTTTAACCAACAGTGTGGGACTAGTTTATAGCTTTAATTTGTATTTATTATCATCATTCTTACAGCTTCTGAACACCACAATCATTCTGTGTATTCTAAGTTTGGGTCAATTCTCATTTTCCCCATTGCCTAAAATTTCCATTTATTCAAATACTTTATGTAAAGTAGTTTGACACAAGTGTCTTGGAAGGTGATAGGAAGACAAACTCAGCAGATGACGTTTTTCCAGAGGTGAGCATTTATTTACAGTGATAATCCCAACACGTGTTACCTTCATAAAACAACAAAAGTTCAATGAAAAATCTGGTAAATTAAAACATACCTAAATCAGATTAAAAGTTGTGTTAAAGGAAGCACATCCTCACCCCGCAGGAACAAATGTCTCCTCATTTTATAGACTGCCCCATTAACAAAATGGCCGCACCTGGGTTAAGAACAACTCACATAGGGAGTTTCACTTTTCTCTTACCGCAAAGAAATACAAATAAACCCTTATCTTTAACATCAGATCATTTACTCAACTAAATGAACTTCAAATACTTCAATTATATTTGACCCGTAACTTACATAAGAAAGAAATGATGAGACAGAAAACATTTCTCAGAGAACAAAACCCTTTCAGATGGTCTGCTCCAGTGATGTCAGCGATGACATCATCAACCCTATAAATACCCAGGAAGTGCTGGACCAGCCCCTTTAACTGCATGGGAGCACATGGAGAACTGAACAACAGAACAAACAGAAGTAAGTCTGGATAACAGACAAACAATGATATATTACAACTCCAGAAACTAAATAAAAATGACTGAACTGAATCAAGACTGTGTGTTTGCTTTAAGTTGATTTATACTTTGATGTGACCTGTAACTTAATGCTAACACAAACAAACCCAGGATAGTAAGTGCTGCAATGTTATACAAGCAATAAAATCATCATAGCAAAATACACAACTGTAAAGAATAAAGTGATTTGATATTAAATTAGGATTTAGGTGACAAGTGGAGAATAACTGAAGAGCATCTCACCCACTTTGTCACACTTTATTTAAAGGTCCAATCTGTAAGATATTTACTGAATGAAACGATAAAGTGATCTTACTACATGATCAGACATTAAGGAAACATGCTCTGTTGAAGTGCTGGCTTCTCTGACAACCAAACAGCAGCCAGTATGTCCTCCATCTAACTTTAGATTCTGGTCTTGAATGCTCTGGATTTGTTTGGACCAGAGAAGGGAGGCGGTTTAAAGGCACCCCCACGTGGCTGTTTTGGACGCCCCTCGGTTTGCCAGACAAACAGCAAACCAACAGGTGTTGTAGTGATGGAAGCAGCGAGAGAAGTAGTTCAGATAGAAGTGATTGTACCCGACCTAAAAAGCCTCTGCATGTTTCTAATAAGCTCCACGAGCAGAAACGTGCTCAAACTAGGATCAATATTGGAGATGCTTTTGAAAAATGGAGAGAGGTTAGAACACAGAAAGGTTTACAGACCCATGCAGAGCTGGATAAACACTGAAGCTTCAGAGTCCACCACATGGTGACCTGAGTGAGCATCGACTCTAAAGAGGAGGACACTAGGTGTTTAAAGTTACATATTGGTCGGTCCTTTAAGTACTGCTATACATCAGTAAGTTCCCAGCCCAGTATTCTGATTGGGCGAGAGGCACTCCATGAGTACTGAAAGTACAACATCACTTTGACTTTTTATGTGTTTCACTCCGTCAGGTTGTTCTGAATATAATGTAAAACTTCAAATAAAAGCCCATTCAAATTTAAGGACCAGTATCTTTTCCTAACCTGGTGTTGGTGCACGTTTTGATCCAACATATATTAACAAGGTTGTCTCCCTCTCTCCCCCACAGTCCAGCAGGTTGGTATGGTTGGGCTGTTAAAGATCAAAACAAATAAGTGATTTGTGATTTAATTAGTTTATTCATAACCTAATGTAGTACAAAGGTAAATATTCTCTCTGGTGTAAATTTAATATTTTAAAGTCTGTCCCATATTTTTTGTGTATGAATTTGTTTGAAAATAATTAAAGGTCCATCTCGTACGGACGGCTGTTCCAAATAAAGGCATAAACTGAAGGAAGGGGGCGCTGTAGCTCAGTCCGTAGGGACTTGTGTTGGGAACCGGAGGGACCCACAACAGCTATGGCTTGCTCCCTGCCTAACAGCCTCACTCTGACATCTCTCCACTAATGCATGTCCACAGGTCCTGTTTGTACATGTGTGTGTGAAACATGTCTCAATAACAGAATGTAAACCAGAATTTCCCTCAGGGATTATTAAAGTATGTAAAATAAAATATATATTAAAAAAAACAGGCTTTAAATTGAAGTGTGAAGATATTTTACAATTTTACAGCAAACAGTGTTAAGTCCTAATTAATCATGTACACTCTTATTTCACTGTTTGCATGATAACAAAAAAATATAAACAACAATGAAAACATCAAAATAAATGTATAATTCAAGGTAGCTGGTTAGTGGTAACCATGGAGACACACAAACGAACAAGAGTGCAGGAAGATGTTTGTGTTACTTGGGACCAACAGCTGATCAACTATAGTGGTGTTAATGGTCTAATAATGATCTAGTTTCTGTTTCTGCAGGTGCTGCTAGTACAAAGTAAGATCATACTTGATGTCATGATGTCGTTCTGAATGTCAACACGCTGATCATCTGTAGCACTTATCCTGTAGCATCATGCCTACGACCAAATTAGGAAGGTGCTCATGCTTTGCTGTTATGTGATTTTGTTTTAATGCCATATGAAATGCTTGTACTTACATATACTCACTCATTTCTTGATTAAGTACTTCTCTATAATGCTACTTTAAACTTTTGTTTCAAACTGGAATAGCGATACCTCCGTTATTCTGAAGCCTCTCCTCCAGCGTCACACCTCCAACCCCCCTCCTTAGCGTCGGCACAAAGGAGTTATAAATCAGATCGCATCATAATTAAGCAACATGAAGCAGCGGACAAAATTGCTCGAGCTGCAATCGCTTGTGGCCTGCATTGTTGTGTTAGCATGCTAATGTTAGCACACTTTGGTTAACTTTCTTCTAGTTCTTGACTAAAACAGCTTTACACACAAGGCCGTCCCGCCCATGTAAACATGATGTAAACACAGCCCGACAACAGTACAGATGGCAGGACTCGAGCTTCTCACTCATTGTAGACAGTCATGACTCAGAGACATTTACAGAGGAGATATTTGGTTTCTGATATGTTTATGTGTAAAATGTCACACATTCTTCCTTTAAGTCTGAAATGAAACATGATGAACTTGACAAAAAATGCAATTGATGAAGATAAAAAAAGGTTTGAAAGAGCAACACAGTTAGATTTTGACAAAAAGAAGAACTGTTGCATGAACAAACAGACGACCATCATACTCTTAACCTGAAGAAGAAGAAGAGAGGAGTGTTTGGATAAGAACACATCAACAGTCAGACTTTGTGTTTGTTCCTTGTTTTCCTTTTAATTTGCAGAAGTTTTCTTTTTACAAAATCAACAAAGAGAGAACGCTTTTCAAGGCATGAATAAATACAAACTTTTGTTTTTTGTCCAAGACTTTGATTTTGTCTGGACAACAAAGAAGGCAACAGGTGATACAACATGATAAATTATCACTGCAAAAAAAAAGCCATAATGTATCTGCTTTAGGCACTGCATGTCCAGCATAAAGTACATCAGCACAACAAACTGTAAACTGCGTTTCATTGCATAGCACACACTGCCCCCTGCTGGTTGTTTGATGCAACAACAAACATGCATAAATAGAAAAGGCACAGTAACCTGAACAATAATACACTGCAGGTTATTCTAAACAGTCTACATTACATGAAGCTCTTTGTATCATATAGCAGCGGCGCAATTCAGCAAGTTGACTTTTTAATCTCCATATATTATTATCTTTTAAATTAAATAATAGAACCAAACCCATCAGGCACTGACTGTAGTAGAAATGCAATGGCAGAAAAAAAAGATGTTTCATAGCATCTTTGGTTTAAACACATGATGTTATCTGCCTTTAGAGGAGACCTAAAGGAGATAACATGATCTGACTCCCCAGCACTTTGGATGAAGAAGTAAAAGCACCAGCAGTAGATATTTAGTTTTGAGTGCTGCCTGCTCCAAAGTCAGGCTGGATTGCAACAGCGACAAACACACTGACATACGTTCTTGTGAGGCTGCAGCTACGAGGGACTTTAATCCTTATTATGATTGCATATGGCTTATTGGTTTGAGTCAAGGTAAATGCATTACACTTCCTTCTCTCTGCATATTTTGTTCTGATGTTACAACCTTCAGTTCAATAGCAACCTTCAAAAGCCGAAGTTCAAGGTGCTTCTGCAGGTGCATGTATTGATGGATGATATGTTGTAAATAGAGAGATGAAGAATTGGCAGACGAAGCATCAGAGTCCAACACTATGCTGAGAGTTTTTGGCTTCCACACATATGTGTAGTTCAACATCAACATGTTCATAATGTCAACAAAAGAGCGAGGATTACTGGTGGACAGAGAACCGATCGCACGCCGTATGGTCTGCGCTCACAGGATTATAAACGCCGTCACCCCACCCAACTCGCTCACACTGAATTTTCCTGACTATTTCCTCGATGTGCTCTCACATCAGCTCATCCCGACTTCATGAGAATAATTTACAAGTACAGTCAGAGTGAAGAATGCTGCTGTTTGCGTTCACACATACAGCTCGTCTCACTGTACAAGTGAAGTTTCTGAATCATGTCTTTGAGGGGGAGAAAAACTGGTTTGACAAGACCATTTCTAAACAAAGGCAAAGCCACCTTAATCCTGGAGCCAGATTCCTGACCTGGTTGTTGGACAGGTGAGTTTCAGGGCCAGACGTCAGAAACATTTATCTTTTTTATGATATTTTAGTGTTGACTTAAGAATTACACAAAAGTCAACATATCTTCTTCTTTTTTCTTGTTTCTGCAACTTTTTAAGATCCAAACCCTTTTTACATGTTAATCACAAAGCTGCTGCTTAAGGTCCACTACAACACATTACATCATATTATCTGTTTTACAAGCAGAGCAGAGTTCACTCTCTCTCCGATCCCTTTTCTTACAGTGTCATGTAGTGGCCTGGTTAGATTAGTCTGATCAAAATGAGAGACAAATACATCTCATTTATAAAGCATATCATTGAGGTACTGTTTAAAGCAGCAGATATGTTTAATTGTGATTGAAGGAAAAGCCCAGGAGAAACTCATCAATTTGACAAAGGCTGGATTCTCTAAAGGCAGACATGAAGGATACAAATATCCTGAAACTGAAGCAGGTAGCCTACATTCCTTTTATCATTTGCACCTGTGCTTTTCCTTCTGTGACACGTCAACATGTCCTCTGAGACAAAGACCGGTTTCTTTTAGTGAGTGGGAAAAGTGAAAAGGTTACCATTTGAATTTTTCTGAGTTACCAATCATCACCCAGCACTCCCGACCTAATGGCTGTGTCTCCTATGACTTTGTGTCCTTTACAAAAGGCTACTTGTGTCATTATTTTAAACTTTGTTTCAAGCTCCCATACGTGTTAATCTCCTCTTTCAGCAGCTAGAATGACCCTGGGAGAAGTCCTGCCAACTGTGCAGCAGTTGTGACGGATTAAAGCCGTTGGCGATGAGCAGTTTGTTAAAAGTGCACCTGTCGTACTCCAGATTCTGGATTTGGAACAAGTTCCTGAGGAAGAGCAGGCTGCGGGAGTACACAGGCCTGACACCCAGCACACGCAGACACAAACCCACATAGACGTCCTCCAGGGGGATCATCCTAACAAACCTGGATGCCCAGGAGATCCTGGCAGCCAGGTCTGCAGAGAACACATACCCGGCTCCAGACACATAAGGCGGGAAGCTGTCCTCGGGGTACAGCTCCTCTGACACATGCCACTTGCTGTTGATGTCCCGCCTTGGCTTGCCGTCCCATATCACTGAGCCGGTGATGAAGCTCTGCCTGGGAGAGCCCCCCAGGCGTCTCATGAGGTAGAACACATTCACAAAGATGTCGGCGTCCACTTTCATGGCATAGGAGACATTTGGACAGTGGGTCGCCAGCCAGTTCATCATCATCATAGTCTTGATTGTCAGGTTCTGATAACTGTCCTGGAAGTTCATCTGGATGATATCTGCGTGTTTCCTGCTCTCCTCCTCCAGCTCCTTCTGGCTCCTTGACCCCTGTCCCTCCTCAGGTAAGCCCACATAGAACAGGGTAAGGGTGTCCTGTCTTGGAGCACCCCATGTTTTTCTGATGGCTTCCCTTGCTGCAGCTTCCAGAGGTGCAACTGGTACCATAAACACCAGAAAGGGCTTTTTGTCTTCGCATACAGACGGCTGGTTGAGAAGATAGCGGTATGTTTCAGGGGATATGACTCTGTACTCCTCCGCGGGGAGGGGACTTGGCTCTGCCGGATGTTTACTCTGTGTTACTCTGTCCACTAAGATCTGAACAGAGAGGACAAGCGCAATGAAAAAGCCGAGTAACTTCACTAACCTCCAGGAAGAAGTTATCCCCATTGCCTTAGCATGTCCGCTTCACTCTGTGCTGCTGGAACAAGTCCGACATGAAACTGTAGAGTCAAGGAAATCCCCCTCCCTACTCTGACCCGCCGCTGCAGCACGCGGAATGGGGAGGGGTCTGATCAAAGGAGGTCCGACTCTTTCTCATCACTGTTCTTATTGGATATCCCGGGAGGCACATGGACTTGGTCTGCCGTGATTGGAGGTTGGGACACAAACAGCACCATCTGCTGGATGAGCGCGCGAAGTACAAATATATACAAATATAAATAGGTTGTTTTTTAGATTTATTTTTTTATATTATTCTGTTTTATTATTATGAAAAACATATAAATATAGATTGTTGTTGTTTTTTGTATTCATCGTCACAAAACAGTATTCAGATATGTTCATGCTTTTCAGAAGAAGTACACTTCTTATAAATTATAACCTAAATATAAATGTGCATTACTTTTACTAGGAATGTTTTCAATTTACTGTTTTGTTTTTCAGGTTGCTATTATGAAGAAGCCTAATTATTGTTATATAATTCTGTATAATTGGAACACCATTTTGGATTTTGCTCATGCTTTATTAAGGAAAATAAATACAAATATAAACATGTTTGCAAAATGAACAATAGAGAGGTGGAGACAACAAACTGTGCGCCATTTCCTCCGTCACTTTAATTAGTTTGCCTTGATCATCCTAAAATATAAGAAACATGTGAGGGTCCATGACCTCTATGTTTGGGCTATTTATACATTTCAGCAACAATGGAAGATTGAGTGCCCCGGATGTGTAACAATATTTTTTCCAGGTCCAAACACCATCCCCGATTTAACCTGGGACAGACTGTAGAGCAAAATGCCCCTCAGGGATAATAAAGTTTACCTTGAACATTGAACCTCATTGATATCAAGAGGTGACTCATCACAAAGTAAAGAACAGAACATTGAACTGAACACATCTTTAGTCCTAATAATCTGAATGTTTCCATTCAGTGTTCATCCTGAAAGCCTGTGCCATGAAGGGAATCTAAACAGATGTATCTCTCATGTGGCTTATCTGTAAAATAGTTATCACAATAAACTGAACACACATGACACAATATGAGCCAAAGTACTTCAAACACTGATCACTCTTTGTAAAAGAGTAAATACATGTCACTAACACATATTGACCAGTGGGCACCAAACTGGAACCAGAATCCAGTGGAAATCAGCTGCTTTATTCCTATAAAAAGGTTTAATCAATAGTATAAAATCAAAGAAGCACATATGATTATAAAATATATGACAATGATAGTAGTGATGCAGGTGGAAACTAACTTTGAACAACATGTGTTTGCTGAGAAAGCCTTCAATCTCTGAAAGACCATTTTTATATCAGTCAGATAAGATTATAAACAGAAGTGGAAACATTCATTCAAAAAAATAGTGTTGTGCAGCACTCCAGACATTCTGCTGCTTCGGGCTATCCAATGAGAACTGTGACGGGGAGGGGTCGGACATGTGAACCCTCCTTTTATCACTCTCTGCCCAATTCCGCGATCCGCGGCGAGGACCGTCCGGATGGCGGCCGCTAGTCCCAGCAGGACGAACCAGGAAATGGATTTCTACCGGAGACGGCATGGGGCGGTCAGGAGGGAGGTCCACAGCTGTGGGTATGATGTCATAGGAGCCTCTTTCTGATTGGTTGATTTCATAAATAATTCAAACAGAACTCAGGACTTCAGATAACGAGACAGCAAAAAAAAGAGACAGTGTAAGATCTATGTTCAGAACCATCAACAAGGAATACAGATCATTTTAAGAAATAAAGTTTTTTATTTTCTCCCCAAAATAAACTCTCTGTTCACGTTACAATAAATTATTAACTCTTAGTAATTATTTAATCTGGCAAGATTTTATAACAAGGAATTCAACTTTTTCAACTTTATTTACAAAATGTTAAATACATCAGGATTCAATGACAGGAACAAAGTTATAATCGAGGTACTACAAATAAATATATAAAACAATGATAACAAAAAAATAGAAAAATAAATCAATAAACAGACCATTTAAGAAAAAACAAAAATTACAATTCAAGTATATCACAAAAAACTTTGTTTTCAGGGCTTTAGGATTAGTGCAATAATGTAATGTCTCCAGGTAGGATTTGAAGTAGGACATAAAAACAATATTGCTGGGTTTCTGTTTAAATAATGTGCTTGTATGAATATGGAATTATGCTATAAAAAAATTTTTTGTAGCAGTAATTCATCATCAAAAAGACCAAACAATAAATATTCACTTTTGAATCTAAGTTGAACATCTCACTTTTGATTCAAAAAAAGGTTTAAATCAGTCCAAAAAATGTGACTTGAAGGACAGTCCCAAAAAAGGTGAGTTAACGTTTCGTCTGCAACGTGACAATATATACAAAGAGGGTCAATGCTTAGTCGATACTTACCAAGAGATGAATTCATTGGATAGCACAAAATCTTCCAAGACACTTCTCACACCTTATTTGACACAAAATATTTCCTTGGTAATATCCAAGTCTTTTTCCAGTCAATGCCAGTGTACAGATTAGTCCATTCAAACATAGATGGAGGTTTACTTCTGGTGTCTCTCTAAATTATTTCTCTTATACATTTGTTATTCATTTTAACACTTAGAAAAGGATCCTCGTCAAACGTGTCATGATGCCCATCATCCCTCACATAAATGGACAGAAGAATTTTTAAACTGGACGGGGTAGCATCAAATACAAAAAGCATATTCCCGAGGGAGTACAGGGGTTTAAAACATTGAAAGAAACTCTTCATAGGTTAACAACTGACCCTCCATGTTGAACAATTGATGGACAAGTAGTATGTCCTCTTCAAACCAGTTCTTAAAAACAGAGATTTATGTTTAAAACAAATATCCTTGTTATTCCAAATATAGTGTTTATGAGGGGAGAAATGATGTCTGTATAACAGAGACCAGGAGAGGAGCAGCTGTTTATGAAAATTAGAGGTTTTATTGGGAAGTTTTTCAATATTGTAATTACATCTCAAATCCATGCTCCCAATTACTATACAAGGAATACAACTTTGTAAATGATTCTTGTGCTGAGTGATGATATCACACATATTGTTTTTTTGTGTGTGTGTGTGTGTTTTTTCATTTCTGTGTATGAATGTGTGTTTAGGAGAGGTGTCGCCTTTGTTTTTTCTTTCTTTTTAATTACTGATTCTGGACACTGGACAAAATGTCAATATTATTTGTTTTGTTTCTACTTTTGTTGTAAATGATGCAAAAACTAATAAAAACTTGACTTACAAAAAAAAAAACATTAAAAATGGCTGCTGCATTGTTGTCAGAGAAGCCAGCACTTCAAAATAGCATATTTCCTTAAAGTCTGATGATACAGTAAGGTATTTTAAAAAGCTTTTAAAATCATTAAAAATGGAACAAAAACACAAGTCTAGGTAGAGGCAGTCTTCTCATATTCAGGGAAATATGTGATGAACAAATCCAAAAAGACATTATTAAGGAAGGAAAACCTGAAATAGAATAAAAGCTTTGAAACATGATTTCTATTTATTTTTTATTTTACAGGGACATTGCATAAACATTTCAGTAAATATGCCAGAGTTAGCCAAAAAGCTAATTTTCATCTGTTGTCCCTGGCCAGATTTTATAAAAGGCTTCCGGAAAAAAAAAAAATCAAACATCGCTAAAAGCTACAAAAACAAATATTAGTAAAAGCACGTATTCAATAACCTACTAAAGTAAATGTAACGTGCACACATCAAGACAACATGTAACACTATATACACTAAACACGTACAAATTACAAATTACACAAGGCCACATAAAAAACATTGAGTGAGCTATACCTGAAGCTCACCTCAACAGACAACTAACACGCAGGCTACATTCATTTAAAAAACAGGACACATTCATCAACAACCAGACACAAGAGGGCAGCAGCGAGCGGAACAGGTTTAGTGCTGGCAGATGTGGTTATCAAATAGCCACTGTTTCAGATTTGAACCAAATGAACAATATGTGTTGCTCTCTCTGATAACTGTTGGGATGTTGTTCCATTCATGTGAGGCTGTAACAGAAAAGGCAGACTGACTAAAAACACACTTCCTTAGAGGAATAATGCAGTCGCCTCTTGAGACACCCCTCGTAAAGTGATATGTGTTTGTTCGTATGCTTACAAACTCTCTGGGTGGGGAGGAGCCAAACCATGTGTGATTTTATAAAGGAGGCATGCATTTTTGTGTTCATCATGTTCTCCCAGCTCAGGAGGTTGTATTTTTTGAGGATTGAACAGTGGTGGAATTGCTTTGGTTTTTTGTCTAAAACTTTTATTGTCTGTTTATACAAAGACTGTAGTGGTTTTAATGTGGTGTGACTTGCCTGAGACCAGCTTGTCAAACAGTAGGTCATATATGAGAAAATCACTGAATACATGTACATCTTGGCTGCTTCAGTGGACATGGAGTTTCTGATAAATCTGAAGTTGGCAAGGTTAAATTTAATTTGTATACAGACATTTTTTACATGTGCTTTAAAGTTCAGGTTGGAGTCAAGTATAATGCCAAGGTATTTGAATTCTTTTACAATCTGTAGTTTTTCTCCTGACACAAGTATATCTGGATCTATGTTTGAGTGATTTGTTTTAGTGAAGAACATACCAACAGTTTTAGACACATTAAGTTGCAGACAGCACTGATTAAGCCATAATGTAATTTTGACCATTGCGGTTGTTAGTTTTGAAGCAACTTCTGCTTTTGTTAAACCATGCACATACAAAACTGTATCGTCAGCATACATTTAATAAAAGTGGGCCCAATATAGATCCCTGCGGAACACCAGTGGACATGTAGAGGGTGTCAGATTGATAATTAAGTATTCTCACACTTTGAGAGCGCTTGGAGAGATATGATTCTACCCATTTAAGTGCATCAGCAGAGAAATTAAAGGTGGATAACTTAGATAGAAGAACCCTGTGATTTACAGTGTCAAATGCTTTTCTGAGATCCAGAAAGACAGCACCAACAATGCCACGGTTATCTAGCAGTGATTTGATTTTTTCAATGAAGAAGCAATTAGCTGTTGAGTGGTTGGATCTGAAT